AAAAATTTTGGATTTCATAAAGAGGACAAATTATTTACAAAGAAGGAAGGACTAGCTTTGGAAAAACAAAACAAAATAGAATTGATGTAAGTTCTGAATTGTTTCAATTGAATTTAATTTACATTAATTTATTTCATAAAATGTAGAATTTTCTCATAAAATTGAAACTCTTCTTTATTTCATTCTTATGCATAAGTTCACAGAAGCCTGACCTACTGAGGTGCTAGTTTAACAGTTCAACTAGCTTCAGTTAATAAAGTCAGTGCATAGTAAATGAAGTTTTCATTCTGTGTTAAGTCATATAACTCTACTGAACTTTCATGTTCATGAAAGTATCATGACTGAAAGCTGCCACATAAACAAATTCTTTTGAAATTTTGATAGATGTATTTTTATTTTCTGATATTGGTAGCTGGAGAGGTTAACACTGTGGACACATTCCAGACTAAGCAGCAGACAGTGAAAGAGCAAATGGCACAGAAAACAAAACGAGGGCCTTGCCAGCCTGACTGTAAACCAAGGGAAAAGTTATCAAATCTGTACAGTGATGTCTAGACAGAGTTAAGGACCTGGGACCCCAGTAAGCTCAATGAGATGACTGGGAGATCCCAGGAACTGATGCCAGACTGCAGAAACCACTAGTGGAGAACATAATACAAGTGTCATAGCCCTGAGAAATGCTGAAAATGAAAGGCTTTTATACATAGTTTTTATATGCAACCATTCAGTACTTAATCTTTCAAGTGATTTCTATGACTGGCTACAAGTTCAGTACCAGAAAGCATCTGACAATGACTGACCAGTAGTATTTATCAAAGTTAAATTTAAATAAATGATGAATAGGATACTTCCTATTTAAAATTACATATAAAATGTGGCAAACTGTCTGGTTTTGTAATAATGTGAAACAATCATTGAATTAAAAGCTGAAATTATGGGCACTCGGAAAAGAAAATTTCTGAATTTCTCCTAAATCTCTCAGATTATTCTGTTTTCTTTCTTTCTTTCTTTCTTTCTTTCTTTCTTTCTTTCTTTCTTTCTTTCTTTCTTTCTTTCTTTCTTTCTTTCTTTCTTTCTTTCTTTCTTTCTTTCTTTCTTTCTTTCTTTCTTTCTTTCTTTCTTTCTTTCTTTCTTTCTTTCTTTCCTTCTTTCAGCATATAAACACATCTTAAAATAGGAAAGAAAAAAAAAAAGAAGAAGAAGAAGAAGATAGGATTTGACTAAGCATAAAATGTTAGAAACTGATAATGAATTATCTTGGATAGAGAATTTATTCTTATCTTTTCAGACTAATTTCAATTTGACATACTAGAAATGTAGAGACATTAGTTACAGTTAATTTACACTCTATCTTTTTAGTAGAGAAAAGTTAAATAGAAACCGTAAAGTAGGATGATTTCCCTGCTGTTCTGTAGATAAGGTTGATAAATGAAGAAAGCAGCACAGGTGAAAGCAAACGACCTACAGAAATAAATTAAGTAACATATCTAATTACTGTATGGTACTAATTGAAAATTGAACAACTGCTATTGTAACTTTAAATCTACCTTGTTTCTCTGTACATTCCTAATCTAGGATATTATTATTCTCTGTGCAGTTTTTTGTTTTGTTTTGTTTTTTAAACAAAGCTAAGTTTTAAAAAAATATGTAATGGTAAAATTAAAATATATATGTATACACAATAATAAACTATGCAACTATGTGGAACTTTGTTTTACACTTTTGTTAAATTTGCTCGAATGGTACTGATGCAGCTAATTCACATTTGAGACTGTATCAGCAACAGAAAGGAAGAAGTCAGAGCTACTTGCATTATGAAACATTTGTAGCTAAGTTTTCTGTCACAACATTTGAGTATAGCAGAGCTTGTAATGAGACCAACCTTGGAGAGACTCTGTCAAGTCAGGCATCTGAATCTAATACCTTTATTGTATACCTTATTGTATAGTGTTGCATCATCTAATTCTGTCTAAATTGTGTGAGCCACATTGCAGCGGCCTTGAGCCCCATAGTCCAGACCTACTTGAAGGTATACAACTGAGCTGAGCACAGAAGAATATCAGTGGTGAATAACTATGAAAACAACCATTGATTTCTGCCTATCATAGCACACTGAAGCACTTACACATCATGCGAGTTGTCCTTAGCACCCTTTTTTGGCTTTTTGTTCTGGTCAATATCACAAGCACCAAGAAAATAGGGTGCTTTGGCAATTCTTTTTTAAAAGCCTGCTGGTTCTGTTAGCCTGCTGCAAGGATAGGTGGACCCATGGTAAAAATACAATTTATTTGAATGTTTTGATGAACTATCTAGCAATTAAAATAAATACTGATACTTTCAGAAAATGAATCAGAATTGGAAAGTACTACAAAACTGGAAGTGAAATATTACTGTACTCTATTTCACTCCACTTCTGCCTTTTTTTTTTCCCCCCATCTCTTTATCTCCTAATTTATACGATACACATATTCAGAAATCTTACTTTATTTAATATGGGTACAGTTAAACTTGGCCTTTAAGACAAACATCCAGTGTACCACACACACTTTCATTTAAGGTCATTAGTAGGCCATATCAGGCCCATTTTTATTTGAAGAGTAATAAGGTAAGTAACACCAAATAAGCAGACCACCTTGTCCACTGTGCTCTACTACCTCAAAATATTTTCTTTGACCTTCTTATGTTCACATGAATTAAAAATAAAAGAGAACATACATGATGATTAACACAACACAAAAGATGTATGTGATATCACAATATTTGTGATAGAACATAAGTCTTTCCATCAAAGCAGTCTCTATCAGAAGTCCAGCCAGGGCAGGAGGCTAAAGAGGATAGCAGAAAATTTCCTCCTAAATTAAACTTGTGTTATCCATCAAACAAAATTCCTGTGGCAATTTCCAATTCATACGATATCAGGCATCCACCAGATTAGTGTTTAAATGCACTTAAAAAACTGGGCTGAGCATTGTTTTTTCTTTAAGCCATACACAACACTTAGGAAAAAAAAAAAAAAGAAAAAAAAAAGGAAAAAAACCACTAAATTGTGAAAGTACTATTGTTTTCCTTCTGATTTTAAGAAAGGCAACCAATGTGTTTCAGAGAATGTTATGCATCCAATCTAAACTTACCCTGTTGCAACTTAAGGCCATTTTCCCTTGTCCTGAGAGACAATCAACCTAAGATATAACCATAGTGAAGCTAGAAAAGCTTAAAACTATTGGTCACTTACTCAGTATCCATATCAGCCCTGCACTTTGATGTCAGTGTAAGGGATCTGTGCTCTGGTGTAACCTCCACAGATGTCCCTGCTTGAGGGAAGATTCTATTGTGCAACTGCTACCCTGCAGGAGAGCTCAAAGGGCCTTTAGGCAGATCACTATTTATGGGGTAAAGTGATTGACTCAGTCATAGTATTTATCCTATGATCTGTTGGTACTTGTTGAACTAGTCTGCTATCCGTTTCACATGGTACTATATTTGTTAACCTGCCTTGGCAATACTTTGATTGTCAGCAGTCCTGATCAAAGTCTTTGCCAGGCTGAAGTAGGAAGCTGGGAAGAGGGGGGAACACACTTCTACAGCTACTTGTGAACAAGCAGACTTTTATCTGACATAATAAAAAGTGTGAGGAAAACAATATGAGTGTGATAATAATTTTTATTTTTGTTTTTTCACGAGATGGAGTATTCCAGATTTATGTTTGGTGACACAGTAACATCTTTCACTATTTTCTCACTGCAAAAATGAAGTAGAAGAAAATGTAGTTTACCATTTAAGCTTATAAAGTTAAGGATCCAAGCAAGAAGAATGAAAATCCACATTACTTCTGAAGCTTAGTTTGAGTACTAGGTTTACTAACCCTTTTAACTTGCCTTTACTACTTGAAATTTGAAGATATTAGTTTTCAAATTGTACAAACACAATATTTAGCAAACTACAATAGAGGTGGTAGATGAAATAGACAATAAATAAGAATATTCTTGGCAGCGGTTTCACTGGTGGCTACGGAATCTGTAGGTAAAACTGATCATTTCCATTAGTGGTGTTTTGGAGAACTAAATTTCCATGGCACATAAACAAGTAACAGTTATGACATACTCTACTGAAATCGCCAATTTAGTAAAAGACATGAAAATTCATTGAAGTGGAGCAGAAAGTAAATTTCTCCAGTCAGAAGAGAAATATTACCTATTTTTTGTTCTGTCCTTCCCCTTTTAAACCTTTTAGGTCACATCTTAGTGCTTATTCTTTCCAAGGCTTTATTATTTCCAAAAATACGCTAAAAATGTAAGGTTTCCTGCAGAACATATGGATTCCTCTTATATTAATTTAGAACTCTGAAAACTAATTAAAAATAAAACACCTACACTTTCTGGTGTCATCAGTCAGTGTAGTAAAAAGTATGAAGGGAATCCTGGCTGTCTGTAAATATTCCAGTAGAAAAATTTCATTTGTAGTACTCTGCCTTATTTTTTCTTCATTCCGCAAAGAAGCTTGGGGTATCGTGATACCTTTTCATAAATTTACCAAATCTTTCCTAGTCAGTCATTAAATATTATCTTTACTGTTATTATTATTATTAGTAGTAGTATTATTAATGTACTTAAGGGAATGACAGTGCTTAATTACTTCAACTCATTTCCCTTTTTGGAACTTTATGGCAGCAGTAATAGTTTGATGTTCGGTTCAAGATGATTGTAGGCAGAATACAGTATTTCAGTTTTATAGAAGTTCCAGCTCTTGAATCTGAAGTTGAATTCCAAATTTTAGAGATTTTTGCTTAAAAGATTTGGGCTAAATCTATTTAGATCTGGTTTGCATCCACAATACTCTTATTAAAGACTCTAAAAAGAATTCTTCAAACAAACATTCTTACTTGATATAACAGAATGCGTTCTTTGTTTCAAAGGAAAACTAATGTGCAGCATTATTATGTTTTGAGATAATTCATTGTTATTAAGAAGAATTTAACAAGAGTGCCCACCTGCTATGTAGTTAACAAAATACGCAAGTTAGAGATGTAGTCAACAAATACGTAAAGCGGGGGCTGTCAAGGTCACCAGGCGTAACCAGGCGTAATCTGTGTGGGCCCCTTGCGTGGTTAGCGAATACGTGAAAGGGGGGCTGTAACAGTCATCAGCCTCTGCGGGGGCTCCTTGACTCATAAGAAAACCATGATGAGACATGACAAGACAAGACATGCCACATGTCTATTGGACACAGATAACCGTAGCAAGGGTGATTGGTAGCACTGTGATATACGGGACAACTATAAGAAGAGTGTGTTGCTTGCAATAAACGCCATTTGCCGCTCACCACATTGGTGTCATAAAAGCGTGTGATTTGGCCGGGGCTGTCTGAGCACTTCACGACGGGACATTATTCAGAGGTTGCCGAAGCAAAGGCAACAAGTGGTGACCCCGACGTGATAATGCCATGTCCCAGTCGTGAATGTGTGATAGCCGGTTGCGCGACGGACGCAGGAGCCCGCGGCGGTAAGGCGGCGGAAGAGCCGGAGGGACTGATCCCCCTGGGGCTGTGAGCGCAGCTGCGAAGTTATCCCACAGCGGTAAGCTTGTGGAAGGTGGAGGGCTGATCACCCTGGACAACCATGGAATCCGTCATTAAGGTATTGCATCAAGCTTGTAAGGACTATTTCAGTGAGGATGCTCCTTCTGAGAAGGACATTGCCGCTGTACTTACTCGCCTGGAAGAGGAGTGGAAACTTCCTTCCTCTCAAGGCATTTTAGACCCCACTAGATGGGATGCATTTACATCCGCGCTTGCGCAGCGTGCGATAGAGGAGCAGAAAGTTGCGGAGCTTAAAATTTGGGGGTTGGTCCTCGGCGCTCTCCGAGCCGCGAGAGAAGAAGATAGAATTCCTGAAGCTGCGCGTGTTATGATGGGCTTCGAATTTAATAACACCGTGAGAAACGGCGCGGGAAGCGTACTTTCTTGCAGGTCCCCTGAGGAAGAGAACACCGCAAATATGCCCTCAGCTATGGCGACTAACATCTCGTCCGCACCTTCGGCACCCCCTTCTGCTCCCCCCTCGGCTCCAGCTTCGCATAAACAATTAGAAGAAGACTACGCTGAACTGTCTGCACTTTTATCTTGCAAAACGGCACAAGCGCAAGAATCCAAGGTCTCTGAAACTCCCCAGCCGTATCCAGGACAACCGCTGTATCCTTCTCTGTGTAACCTAACACCACCTGTGGGGGCAGGGAAAAAAGTGAGCTGGGATGGGACATTTGCTGTCTCCTCTCAGGAGGTGGAATGCAGTAACACCCAGAGGGGTGGGGACTGCGGGCAAGGCTTGGGTACGGATTGGTTAAAAGTTAGGGAGGTAGTAGAAGAAAAAACAGCAGAGAGAAAGGGAAGCGATGTAAGTTACAGGCGCTGGGATGGTTGTGTCCGGCCAGCACTGTCCACCCTGACTGCGTCTGAAGGAGTAGGTGGCGTCCGGCCAGTGCCCTCTGCTCAGGTTGCACCCAACGGAGAAAGAAATAGCGATAGTCTCCGGACCCACTCTCTGCCACAGTGTTCAGACCCATTGACTCGACCCACACATCCTTTTACAGGATTGAGTGCGCATGCAACCAATCAGAAGCCTCTACAACAGTCAGTGCATGGTCAAAGAGAGATGGGCACAGTGAGAGGGGTGCGGAGCCCGCAGCTTCCAGCTGTGACTGAAAAGGATAGTGAAAGGAGAGAGGTGAATTTGCATTTAGGAGTTAAGAGAGATGCACTAACAGATTGTGGGAAGTTTAGATCTAGCCTGATAGAGGGAGGAAGAGTACTAGAGATCCTCCTGATAATAGGGAATGATAACAGAGACCCGGAATGGGTACCTCTCAATCCGAAAGACATCACACACCTGATAGATTGTGCAGAGAAATGGGGATTGAAATCATCCCTCAGTTTAAATACATTAGAAGTCCTGACAGCATCAGGCCTTCTCTTTCCTCATGTAACAAATCTGATGTGCATGGTGCTTAAGCCAGTGCAGTATACATTGTGGGCATTAGAATGGTTTCCCTTCAGGGAGAGGTGGCCAGATTGAGGCCTGGAGAACAAGCAATTCCATACAGCAGGTTTGTGAGAGCAATGCTCTCAAAGCCTGAGACATCTGCCTTGATATTGAACAAATATTTATCACTTTTGAGGTACATTCCAACAGGTACCTGAGACAATGTTGGTATATATTGGGCATAGATAGTGCCACTGAAGCTATCAGCAATTACTCTAACCTCTAATCTCTAATCTCTCTATCTATAACTTTACTAGTATTGTAGGATGTGGCTTTAATTATTAAGTGTTGTAACATCACATCAGTTCTTGCAGGATAATTACACGGTGATTAAAGACCTATCACCTGTTCCAAGTGGGATAAATCTCGTTTTGGCTTACCAAGGAGGGAACTTGGTAAGGAAGCTTTTGCAACATGATGACCTGCACCAGTTGCTGAAACATGTAAGAGACAATGGACAGAAAACTTTGATCACCATTCACCATGACACAGAAGAGATCCATCGTGTCCTAGAGAGAGAGTAAAGAAGGATGGAGAACACCACTGATGGGAAGTGATTCTGGGATGGTCCACCAATGCGACAGGAATGTTTAACTCTGTTTAACTCTATTTTGTATTCAGTTATAGTTGCATTAAGTCTAACGTTAATACGCTTTATGCTTATAGTCATATTATATATAGATATATAGGTATATTACAGATATAAGTATAGTGTGTGCTGAGACAAATGACTCATATGGCAAATGCCAAGATGAAGGAATCAGCGTCGAGAATGCAATATATGGCTTTATATAGAACTCACGTTTAAGATATTAGGATTATTAGGTTTATAGGTTATAAGGTTATTAGGGTAAGATTATTTGGCGAATCGCGATGTAACGGGGCAAAAGGCTTAACCGAGAGGACAATGGCATGTATAGGCGCAATGCGGGGATTTCGGGGTGTACGCGGTTAGGGTCCTCTCGAGTTGTAGTAGATTTGCTTGAGCTTAGGGAGGGGGAGATGTAGTTAACAAAATACGCAAGTTAGAGATGTAGTCAACAAATACGTAAAGCGGGGGCTGTCAAGGTCACCAGGCGTAACCAGGCGTAATCTGTGTGGGCCCCTTGCGTGGTTAGCGAATACGTGAAAGGGGGGCTGTAACAGTCATCAGCCTCTGCGGGGGCTCCTTGACTCATAAGAAAACCATGATGAGACATGACAAGACAAGACATGCCACATGTCTATTGGACACAGATAACCGTAGCAAGGGTGATTGGTAGCACTGTGATATACGGGACAACTATAAGAAGAGTGTGTTGCTTGCAATAAACGCCATTTGCCGCTCACCACATTGGTGTCATAAAAGCGTGTGATTTGGCCGGGGCTGTCTGAGCACTTCACGACGGGACATTATTCAGAGGTTGCCGAAGCAAAGGCAACACTGCTATGTTCTGCTATTTATTTAAAGAGTGTAGTAGAGTTTCACTCTTTATATGGAAAAATCAAAATTCAGGGAAAAACATGTTCCAAAGAAAATGGCAGAAGGAAGACTAAGTTTCATTTAAAGATGAGTTTCAAATGTTAGTGCCATCACTTTGTACCATATCTACCAAGTTTTTCCATATAAGGGATGCTTCTGTTTTTCATTGCTTCTCTTGAAGGACCAGCAGTTTCTCAGTTGGTCAGCACAAAAAATACTTTTGTGGTGAGCTAGAAATGGAATAAGTAGCAACAGTATCATTTCAATATTTTCTCTGTAAATTTCAAGGTCAAACTTCAAACTTTAAAAAAAAAATAGAATAGAAAATGGTTGAATAGCTTACATTTTCAGTTTGACTTTTAAATATAAAATAATAAGCTTAAAATAAATAAAGAAAAACATCTCATTTTCTTTATGGAAAGTGCATAAAAGTGCTGAAAAATTGGCCTATCTTGCGTACTTTGAGTCAGAAGTTACAAGAAAAAACAAAGTAACATTTATTAATATATCGTTACACACATTATTTTTACATATTTCCTTTTGCTAAATTTAAATATTGCAGCTTCTATCTATACGTGAATGTTCTTTGGGAAAATCAAAAAAAGTATATATGGATGTTAACTTTCAAAATTTACTTTCTGCTCAGATTCCAAAATTTTATAACAGACTTTCCATCTGATTATCACCACCATGTTGAACAGGAAGAATCATGACCCTCTCCACTACATTTTCTATCAAAATGCAAGCCTTATTTTACATGAAAGAGTTCAAGCAAAACAACTTGTCAAAATGCTTAATGCTGTAGTTACTTTTTATTTTTACTATTAATTTTTTGTTTAATCAGATCTACAGAGAGAATAATTTCTAAAGGAAAAATTCAAATAGTTCCTCTGAACTCTCCAGTGGATTGGATGAAAACATAATTAAATATAAATGTTTTTTTATTAACACTAACTCCTTATTTTTAGCACTGACTCTTTGCAGATATTCACTCTCTTTTTAAATCTGTCATTAAACCTCTTAATTAATGTCTCACCAATACATATCTGTGCTTATATATTTTGTATATATGTACACTATTTATACAAATTATTCTGTCTTTGCAAATCCTCTGCTTCAATTTCTGTTCAGAATCCTTCTCAAATGAGCTTTTGCGAAAATTTGACCAGAAAAATTTGACTCAATTCAGAATAAGATGAAGAGTATGCAAATGTTTTATGGTACCAACAGATTTACAGGAAATCTATTTAAGTAAAGCATTCCTGTACTATGCCATTGTAAATACAATCTCTTTAATTTCGAAGCATACCTTTAGATTATCTGTTTCTAAGATACTTTTGTCATTTTAGGATCACTTACTGTTATTGTAAAACATTTAATTTGAAAGCTGATGGCACTACAGAAATATGTGTTCAGAGAAGGATGGGGAGGGAGAGATACAACACTAAATTCACAGTCTTTTTGGTATTTGCGTGTTCAGTAAGTTAATAGAAAAGCCTATACTAATGGTACACTATAAATTGTTACATCTGCAATAAAAGAACTGATTTTCCATTCTAATCTCTTGGGAGCTGTTCTGCAAATGTATTTCTATCTTAGGTACTGGTAAGTTCAATGAGGTACACTATAGGACTCATGCTTCAGTAAACTCATGAAAGATGTTAAATGCAAGAACAGCATTAAAGTTATGCCTGATGGCAGTATAAAAGAAAGTCCGTCAGTATTCCCTTGTAACCCACTCTGGAGTTTGTAACTCAACTGTGAAATGGACATTGGATTAAAGAAACTACTATGCAAGTATGAAGAAAAATTGTTTTCCTGAATTCATTGGAACTACCCTAATAGACCTTGATGTTTGGTTTTGTAGTGAACAGAAATGAAGTGCTTTGATTCTAGAAAGTGCAGGAAATATGTCACATTCAATCCTCAGATTAACTGTGTCTTGATAATCCTGAAATAACATGCCAGTCCAGGTAGAAACCTAGAAATATGTATTTTCCAGGTGAAAATATTATTTTTTACTATGTCACAACAATATTGTGATCCAGCAAACAGTAATGCTGAGCTCTGTACTGGTTCAGTAGGTCCTGACAAACTCATATATGCTGTTTTTTTTGTTCCTGTGTGAGCATTTGGGGAACCCAAAGTTCTCTAGTAGAAATCCACTGATTGGTGTGGATGAGTTAATGGAGATGTTCTTCATTTATAGTGGTGTGACAGCTGTGTGTGGCTGTCCAGAACATGGCTTGTTTTTCACATTGTTGTCACCATCACTGAATACCACTGTGAACACTGCCTTGATGCGTTCACATTCATTGTTTGATCTCTATAAATGTTCAGCAAGCAATTTTTCTGCATGGAAGAAATCAGTGACACACCTTTGCTTCATGTACACTTCTATTTCAGGTGCCACCTCGTCTGAATTCTCATCTGCTGCCATTGGCCTCACAGCAACAAAAATGGAATAAAATACTGAGGTGAGCGCTCAATCTCTGCTGTCATATCACCAAACATCCACCTTTGATATCAAAAGCCAACATAACTAAATAAGGAACATTACTTTTGGATCAGTTCTCATATGTAGAGGTTTTACCAGAGTTGTTTGTAGACAAAGATCATTTAGATTTACAATGAGCCTTCTATCAGTAAGATATAACTCAATTGCACTGTATCTCACGGTTTGAATATAAATGCTGTCCTAAGTGGCTGCCCCTAAGAGGATTCTTCTTTTTGAGGGTATATAACCTGTAGGTTATGATGATTAAGTCCACAGAAGAACTGCTGGTTCTCTTGACTGCTCTCTTGATTTCAGTGAGGTACAAGTTGGGTTTTCAATTTGTTAAAATGGCTGGGGCTCATTAAATGTTTGGTAGTTTACAGAGCTGGCGCGGTCTAGAGCTTTACAACATGCAGGAGCATTCCAGGTTTTGTATTTTAGGCTTTTTAGCTTAGCTGTATTTACAGCTTTTTAGCTGTAGTTAGTGTATAGACTCTCTTGTTTGGATATTCTACTAATTTTCATACGTCACTGTGGGAATTCTAGAAATATTACAGTGATGTCCAAAACAGATTAGTCTTAAGAATTCAATGCAAATAATGGATTTCTTTCAGAACATTACATTTATGTAGGATATAAGTGAATATTTAGACTGTTTTATTACTATCTAGTGAGGTCAGTATAATTTAGGTGTTTTTTTTTGTTTTGTTTTGAAGAAAGACAATTCTTTACTATTAATGCATTGTCTTTTTGTGCTTATTCTCGGTGAATACGTTTCTTAAATAGATCACTCGGTGTTTAATTTTGCTTGCTTTTTCCTAGATGATTACCTTCCTTTCAGAGTTCATTGTCAGTAAGGTTAAAACAAAATTTTAGCAGGCTACTAAAAAAAATTATCTAGCAAATATTTAAAAAATTCATCAAAATGTATTACTTCTGCTTCTTTCAAAAAATAGAATTTCAAAGGTAAAAAAACTATGGAACTAAAAAATGGTGCACACTTATTCAATATTTTCAACTTAAGTATTTCATTGATAATTGTTTATTGATGTGCTTAATACTGCAATGCTTAATATTTTGTGTGCATATTTACGTATAATGTTTATGGTGTTCACAGAAGATCAGTATGACTTACATTAAATTTTAGAATAAGTGAAACTGAAAGGGCAATTCCTCATTTCCTTGTTCAAGTATCATTTTTCTTGTTTTTTTAAAAATGAAAATAGTTTCAAGAGAAATGTGGCTTCCAGATTTCATTATTGTACAATGTCAAAAACATCCATTGCTGTTAACATAATATTGCTACAGTAGAAAATAAAACCCAGTATATTTTTTATTCTAAAAACCTCAGTGGAAACAGCATTTAACAATGATGTCTCAATAACACTGCCAGATAAACGATCTACTGTGACTCTTGCAGCTAGCAATAAAAATAATTACAAGCCAATTGAAAAAAATAATGCAATTAGAGAAAAGCAGTGAGATTTTTTGAAACTACCTATAACATCATCTTTCACTGTATTATCTCGAGAGAAGACATTGGACTGTTTTTGTAGGTAAAATGTTGAAAGACAGAACTTGTGCCTTGTTCTTAACAACAAATCTTGTTCTTGAAAACAAATAATTTATTAGATAATGTGGGATGATCCTGAAGCAATCTGCTGTAATACTCACCAGAGCCTTTTCTCTTCTCTTTTTCTGGAAGCAAGGAATGTCTCCAGGAACAGCCCTCAAAATATAGCCAAAGAAAGGCAAGCAGAGAAGCACGTAGGACAATCAGAGAATCATAGAATCCTTTGAGTTGGAAGAGACCTCTGAAGGTCATCTAGTCCAATTCCTCTGCAATGAATAGGAACACCACAGCTAGATCAGGTTGCCCAGAGTCTGATCCAGCCTGGTCTCGAAAGTCTCCAGAGATAGAACATCACTCACATTACTGGATAACTTGCTCCAGTGCCTCATTGCCCTCACTGTAGAAGACTTTTTCCTTATATCCAACCTAAATCTACCCTCTCTAAGTTTGAAACCATTTCCCTTTGTTTTATCACCACTGATCCTCCTAAAGAGTCTGTCCCCCTCTGTTCTATAGCTTCCCTTTGGATTCTGAAAGGCCTCTATAAGATTACTTTGGAGCCTTCTCCAGTCTGAAGAGCCCTAGCTCTCTCAGCCTGTCCCTGTAGAAGAGATGTTTCATTTGGTGGCTGTGCTCCAACTGGTCTATTTGTCTCCTGTACTGAGGGGAGTCCTCAGTACAGGACACAGAACTTCAGGTGAGACCTCACCAGTGTGGAGGAGCAGGATCACCTCCCTCGCTGTGCTGGTCATGCTTCTTTTGATTCAGCTCGGGATATAATTGGGCACAATGGTGGCTC